ATCTTCTCCTGAGTTTGAAGTTTGTCTTTCAGTTGTTGTAGTCGTTTCGAATATCTGCAACAGAACTTAAGTCTCTGCTAACTTCAGGATATGTTGGTTCTTTTACAGGAACAATTGTTATACCATCTTCGTCTTCGTATGGTTTCCCCACTTCAACATCTCTGTCTTTGACATTGACAACAACACTTGACTGTTTGTTTGAGTTGGTGAATTTAACTTCACATCTGCCACCGCCATTAAACTTTTGAAACACTCACGCTTCTATTTTTCGGAAATGACATTTTACTTAGAATAAAAGATGGACGTATTCGGATATCTCTTCGAATTGAAGCAGAACAAAGTTTACACACACAAACAATACAAATACATTGACAGAATAGTTCTTTACACAAACAATGGAAAATGTTATAGAATAGCAGTCTTTGCTGAACCAAAAATTTTCATAAAGCAAAGAAAGTTGTATAACTGAAATGGTGAAAGTTCTTGAAGCAGACAAAAATATAACTTCAAAACTTACAGATATTTCTAAAGGTAATTATCTTACAATATTATGTCAAAACTGGCGTACTGTCAATATTTGACGAGAGAAGTCAGTTCAAGAACAACTTACTGACCTGCTGCCAAAATCTGCTCGATGGAAGCTGTCGTTATGCCAATCTGAGGAGCCCCAGCAGTTTCATCGACAGAATCTTCAAAAGAGCATCTTCCGTGAAAAGTGCTATTGGTTTGTAAACTTCTTTGCTTTCAATTCATCTGGACCGTCTCTGTCACCAGTATATTGTATTTGTACAGTACCAACAGTTGAAATACCACCCATAAAGTCTTCTGAGTCAGCAAATGGAATGCCAAGCCAAAAGTTTGAACGGTCTCCATTTGTATATTGAGTTTTTTGACTCCTGTATGAGTCCATACTTTCACATATGGCATAATAGAACTTTGCATTTCAGGTTAATGGTCGTTGTGAAGTTGTTGTTAAAGTTCATAGCATCTAATGTCAAGTTGTATGACCTCATATCCTCAACTGTAGAATATTCTTCTCTTGGATAATATTTGCCATCTATGTTTATATGATATTTAATACCGGGGTTGTAGAAACAAGAATAGTCATTTATAGTTCGTCTGAACAGTACAAACATAGTACTGCATGTTCATTGCAGTTGTTAAAGCATATATGTTTCTGCACCTGGGTCAGCACTTTGGTTTCCAACTTCACCTGCAAAGTCTTTGACAGATATTTGGTGTATAGGGACATAAGTGGAACTGAATATATTTGGCAGTAAAGCATTTGAAATATCTGGGTCCAACATAATAGACTGCAGTCTGCTTTCTATTCTCTTGCATTCAAACTTTTCGCATGTGAACTTAACTGGGTCCAGCAGTTCCAGCAGCATTGAAATAATAGTTTACTTCATTGTTGAAGTTTGAGAAACCAAAGTCTAAGTCAACTTTGTCTTTGCAAAAGTCACAGAACTTGGCTCCACCAGTTCCAGCTACAGTAATGCTGAATGGGTCTTTGGTTTGGTGCAATGACTAAGTTATTTTTGCTTGGAGTAAGTTCGATAGAAATTTTTCCTGCCCAGTTTGGTAAGTATCTTAAAAACCTGAAGATGAGGAAAGATGACAAAGGACTCTAAGTTTCAGTTTTACTTTAGTTGGCAGCAGTTCCATCTGAACCAGAAAGGTTAACATAAACTCCTGAAACGTTAGGGTCAAGTCTTCTTATTTTCTCAATATTTGCATACTGGTCTGTTTGTTCTCTAGCTTTGTGTTGTTACTGAGTTTCTCAAAGCGAACCATTCATAGTTTGCCCATGTTACTGTTTGAACTAAGTCAGAGTTAGAATATATCTTATATCCCATGAAAACTTCTGGAGCATATTGGTATCCGACATAGAAAATTCCATTGCAACCTTTCTTGTCAGACAACTTGGCAGAAGGTTTTATTTCAATGTCTTGTTCCACGTATAAGAATGAGTTGTCAATAGAAATAATATGAAACTGTCGCAAGCAATATCTACTGTTGTTGAAGAACCTTCTCCAAACTCACCTACGTTTCCATAAGAAACAGCAGTTGTATATTCGTAAGTTCCAGAACTATTTCTGACCTTCTAATGGCATTGTCGCATTCGTTATACCATTCGGAAACATTTCCGTTCATGGCATCCAAAACTGTTGCGTTATATTCTGAGCGCGTACATTTCATATGGGTAAAAATATAGAATAGTTGGATTTATATATCATAATAGAACCCACTCGGACCAAGCTTTACTTTGTTCTACTCTTCTTCTTTGGTGTCGCTTTTGGTAACTGCCCTCTGCTTCAAGTTGTTGCATCTTGCCTCATGTTCACCTAGTATGTTGTAAATTTCCCATGTCCTTTTTGCTTTGGGCTCTGGTCGCCCAACTCAGGTAACCTATATCCTAGAAAGATTTTGTCATAGTTTGTATTTGAGTCTTCGCGTATTGTTTGCATGACTCTTTCCTGAGTTTCCGGTTCAAGCTCTTCAAACAGAGCTTGTCCATATGGAATAAGCTCGTTTCCAAATATATATTTTTTGTAGCCATTCTGGTTTTCTTTCCATGTTACCAACAATATCTTTTGTGAATGGGAAAGCTTTTACCCAATGTTTCAGTCTTGCGTCATTTATTTCTGTAGTTGGTTTTATTTTGTCAAGGAACATGTTTTTCAATACTAACATTTCATTTGGTACTGTCCATTTGAGTTTTCTTAAATATTCATCCTTCTCAGTTCATTGTCTGCAAAGTAAGTTTTTTATGACATTTTGTAAACTTTCGTTTGCAAGGTCATGTACAATAGGTTCTCTTCCTTCTATCTCCCTAACTTTCTTTCTAAACTCTTCACCAAATATACCATCTCTATGGTTCTGTGTAGTTCTTTGAGATAAATGTTCTAGAACGTCAGGTGTTATATTTCCATCAGCCATGTTCATTTCATACTGGTCCAAAATATCTGCATGTTTCATATCTTTCAATGGCATTAAAAGCCGCGCTGAAAATACCAGCTATATCTGGTTCACCATTCACTTCCATTGCGTCTACAACTTCTTGGTTGTGGTTGTAAGTTTATGAACCACTATCCGGATTAGCTTTATGACCCCATCTCATTGTAGTTCCATAGTCTGCAGAAACAAAAGTAGTTGTTTCCATATTGGTTAGGTTCTGAATGAACTTTAAACAATGTTTCATTTCTATAGTTTTGGTGAAATTTAACCTTTTATTTCTACCGAGTTCAGCCAAAGATTGAACGTTATATGGTCGTAAGTAAAAAGGATTGTTGTATTTGCGTACATTTTCTTTCAGTACTTCCATTCTATGCTGAATATTTTCATCTGATGTTGGAGTCTTTTGTATGTCGGCGAACATTTTTCGATATTCTTCTACTATGTCAGCCGAATTTTTCTTAGACTCTTGGAAAGATTCCATATTCCGCATACTCTTGTTGAGGGTCAAGATTTTTCGGCTGTTCCAAATCTTCATCTAGTTTGTGAAGTTAGTTTCCAAAGGAGGGACTTGTTCGTTTCCTTCAGGCTCTTCTAGCTGTTGTTGCTGAACTTTTCTTCCATGTCTGGTTGTATTTGAATTCTTCCTGTGGAGTTTCTTGTACCTCATCTGCTGGCATTTCATATATTCCGAGACCGTTTTTAACAAGTTCCTATTTAAGCCATCCGCATTCATAACCCTTTCTTCTTTCGTTCCGTCTCTTATTTTTTACGCGTTTCATGAAGATAGTTGAATTATCATTTATCTCTGACACCAAATATTCGGAGTAAATTCAGTCATGTCATTTGGATGATATGCTATTAAATCATATCCCTTAGCGAGCTTGTATTTTCCAGGTTTGAAATTATATCCCATTTGGTGCTGAACCATAAAGCTAAATAGGTTCGGTCATATTTCCTTCCTTGAACTTTTCTAATAGCTTCTTTATATCTGTCACTAAAGTCAAGAGTATCTGGGTAACCATAATTTTCCTTAAGCATTTTTAAGAATTCTTGGTTTCCTTGTTCTCTACTTCTTTTATGTCCTTGCTCTGTTTGTGGTTGTTGCTGTGCAGTGTTTTGAACTGTTGGTTGTGGTGCAGTGTTTTGAACTGTTGGTTGTGGTGCAGTGTTTTGAACTGTTGGTTGTGTGCAGTGTTTTGAACTGTTGGTTGTTGTGTTGGTTGTTGTTGGTTTTGGTGCATGCCTGTGTCTGTGTTCATGTGACGATGTAAATGTTTTAGGTAGTCCTGGTGCAGGTGCTTCTCTTGGAGGGTTTGGTGGTATATAAGTTCCACTAGCTAGTATATATAGCACACAGCAGTGGTATATAGTTCCACCAGCTGGCACATATGTTCCATCTGCAGCATAATGTCCTACCTGACTTTTCGTTCTTAAGAAAGCATTTACTAGGTCTGTTTTGGCCTGTTGTAACTCTTTTCTTTGACTTTCCACAACAGTTGCTCTAACGGCGTCATAGGCACTTTGAACTGCCTGTCTCGTTGCTGCATCTGTTATTTTCGTCATATTTGTGCTACTTCTCTTAACTCGTTGTCGAAACCTTCAGACTTCAGTTTCTTTCCAGATGAGAAGTCGTTCCATAGTTTCACCTTACTATGAAGAGCTTCGAAGGCGTTTTAAAGTCAGCATTCATTAAAGCTTCATTTGAACTGTCTTCATCCGCTTGTATTTTTGTCCTTATTGACCCTATAAGTTGGGCTGCTTTGGCGTTGGCTTGGGCATCTAACCAGTCATTATTAGCTTTTATATATTCTGCGCTTTCATTGCCTTTTGCATGGCTGCGTCGTTATTTTTACTTTCTTGTGCTAAGTTTTCATACTTGTACGGTTTGGTTTTGCAACTGTAAAAGTTTTTCTGCCTTTACATTTTGCTTCAACTTCTTTTTTATACTCATCGCTATCCATATATGTCTTCAGGGCTTTTTGTTTTATCTCTTCATCTTTCAGTACTTTATATTGAGTAGTATGGTTTTTCAAATTTATAACATCTTGTTCCATTTTTGCTACTTCTGCTGCTTTTTCTGACACTTTTTTCGCATATTCCTCTGTACTTAGTTTCTTTCAGTTGTTCTTCTTTCTTCTTTTTCTCTACGTTTAACTCATTGAGTTTCTTTGTGTGTCTGTCATATTCTAGTTTCTTTTCGTTTTCACTTATTTGTTTCTGTATGTCTATGTTTGACTTTTTGACATCTGTTATTTGATTTTTGAGTGAACTCAAATTCATTTGACTTTGAGGGTTATAAGCTGTTCCGTCTGCAGCTCCACCATAGCCTGCCATTTTCGCTAAAAGTGCCGCTCTTAAACCTCCACTCTTGTGCACCAATAACTCGGCTTAAAAGCATAGGGTTGCTTGACATTTGTTGCAACATAGTGGGGTCATTCATCATTTGTTGTTGCAACTGTTGTTGTGGTGTCAGTTTTACTATTGGATGTTTCAATGCTCTCTTCCTCTTACGTATATTCTTACGTAGCTTACGTGGCATTTTAAGTGAAGTAAAAAACGGTTTTTGACAGATGTTTATATGACACTTTTTGTTCAGCACAAAAAACTACTCGGTCAAAGTGTTGTCAGTTTTGTAAAATAACCGTCCTATCTCATTCTATAAGGGGGAAAAGGCTTCTCAAAGTATACTTCCTTGGAACGCCTGTAACTTTTCCTGTAGCGACGATAGACCCTTACTTGTCCGGACAAAGTTATACTATTTTGAGTGCCTACAAAAAAGTCAACGGCGACGACTCTCAAAAACTTTTTATGGGCTAGAGGGCGCAACGCGCCTGGAAGGCCATCCCAAGAAAAAAAAAACTTCATTTATACTAAACATCTTCAGGCTAGAGGGCGCAACGCGCCTGGAGGCCCACTGCCTTTTTTTTTTTTTTTTTTTTTTTAGTGTTAATAAAAAAATGATTTTTGTATTAAATTTACAGAATAAATGTAATGTATGTAATAAATAGCAATTTGCAGGAGAATATATGGTAAATCTAAATCGAACAAATGATATGAATAAAGCCTTTGAAAAAATAATTTGCAAAAAATTGTGGGAAATATGATGGTGATTTTTCGATAACAATAAAGTTTTGAATGCATAAAAAAATTTTATCAAACTTTTTGTTGAATTAAACTGTTTTTCAATATTTTTATTGCTTTTGAATGAGATACGTGAAATTATTCAATATGAATAATTGTCAATTTTACTTTTTCTATTTTCAATGCTCATTCAATTAAATTATTTTTTGTATATGTGCTCAGTATCTATATTAGAATGAATATTTTTCGGTTAATTGAAAAATCGAAATGAATTTTTAATCATTCAATAGATAAATATTTTATTCTTATTATTACACAACATTAGATCAGCATAATTAATCAATTAATTTCACTTCGTTTTTTTCTTTTCACTACATCTCAAAATTTTCAATTAAGCTTTTGGTTAATTATTAAAAATATAGTGTATTATTTCGATTATCATTTAAAAATATTATCATTTTTTATTATTATATTTTGAATCCTTTCAACATTTTGAAAGCAATTTAATTTGTTTTCAATTCATATTTTTCGATGGAAATAGCTCAACTTCAAACTAAATTAGATGAACATGGATACATCTATCTTGATTACCTTGGATCAGGTGCCTTTGCTAATTGTTATTTTGTTCAAGACAAAAGGTATAACAACAAATTTGCTTGCAAAGTCATCAATCTTCAACATTGTGACAATCACTTGCAAACAGTGGTTAGAAAATATCATATTGAAGTTGAATCGCTCTGTGCTGTCTGTCATCCTAACATTATCAAAATTTATAATTATTTTTACGACGAATCCAATCTCTATGTTATTGTCGAATATTGCAGTAACGGCACGCTTGATAATTGGATTAAAACTTATGGAGCCATATCCGGAAGAAAGCTTTTCCTTTGGGTCACTCAATTTGCTAATGCTTTGGCATCATGCCATGATCATGAATTGGCTCACAGAGACTTAAAGCCGGCCAATATCCTATTTGATGATGATTTCAACATTAAAATCTGCGATTTTGGTTTGGCTTGTATCCATGAGCCAATATCTCAAAAATACTGCGGAAATTTAAGATATGCAGCTCCAGAAATTAAGCACAAGAAACCTTATGATCCATACAAAGCTGATGTTTGGTCTTTCGGATTGATCGTTGCCTTTATGGCAATGGACCAGATGCATTCGCACAATGGACTGAATATCTTGAATATGGAAGCTGTATTTTCCCAAAAGAGATACCTCAAAACTTGGTCAATATCATTAGACATTGCATTTTCCTTAATCCTGAACAAAGATGGTCAATGGCGGAAATTGTCAGATATTTGCATTCTAATGTGAAATTGCAAATCACCCCTCACAAAACAAATTCCCGTATTTTCAGAGGAAATTCACTTATAAGTCCTCTTTCAATGAGCAGGCTCAGAATTCAAACCAAGCAGGCCTCAACAATTATTCTCCCATCTCTTTAACTTATGCGATTTTAATTATTTTTTTGATTTTCCATGTAAGCTGTATCATGTAAATGTAGCTTTTTAAAACTATTGTTTTTGTTTTTTAAAGAAACATTACGAATGAACTGAGTCTTGCTCAAATGATTTGATCAATCGTGTGAAGAATTTCCCAATTACCATCATTCCTCCATTATGTTGATACTAATGTTTAGGTCTTTTAATCTTATATTACTTTTTGTTATAAACCTATTACCGTATGCAAAATTTTCCACTGAAAGGTCAATTCTATACGAAAAACAGAAATTTTATTTTATTTGTATATGGACATCTATGTTTCAGCTCAATAACTTTAATACACTCAAGAATTAATTTGGAAAAGTATGAAATATGAATGATTTTAAATTTTGAATGAAAGGATGGGATGCATTTTCTCAAAACCGATAGATTGTATAGGTCAGGTAAGTGGGGTTCCAGGCACTTCGTGCCCTCTAGCCCCGAAGATGTTTAGTATAAATGAAGTTTTTATTCGGAAAATTGTTAGTCTTCTGGTGTGAATTCGGAGGACTTCTTGGATAGAGTCTTGTATTTCCTCCTCCTCTTCTTCTTCCTCCATTGCTTCTGGGAAGAAGCCTTCTTCTGGGTCGAAAACATTATATATGTGTAATTGAATGACACATTATATCTTTCTTTGAGTTCGCTCCTGACAAAGAACTTAGTTCCAGGAATACAGAAGAATTCTTGCGTTGGAAAAGCTGATGTCCTGGAACGAATTTGGCAATTAGAGACTTCTTTTTTCCGAATTGTTCAGGAGTTTTCATGACGACAGTAACAACATTTCCATCTGCGAGGTCTTGTTGTTGTTCGGAAAGGTAAAGAGCAATGATATGAATGGTTGCTGCGTTGAATTCGAGAAAGTCGAATTCAAATTGTGTTGTCGTATAACATTCAAACCATTTTGTACAGTTGTCTCCGAACTCGTCAACGTATTCATCTTCGTCATATCCGTAACTAAAGACTTGGAATTCGGCAATTCTCTTGTCGAATGACCGTTGGATGTAACGAGGAAGATTTTGACGAACTTGCATAAAGTTCTCAACATTATAAGCTTAGTAAATGTTGAGAAATACTGAACTAAGACATCGCTAAGCTCAATTGGACTTGGAATTGTCTTATTAAGTTAATTGAACTAGCAATTGCTTTGTTCAAGACTATCAAGAACGATATTGTATGTAGCGTCTGGTTTGTGTGTTTTCTTCGGCGTCTTTGAGATATTTAGAGCAAATTTGTTGAAGAATTTCTCTTAATTCGCTGTTAGACTTTTTGGTGGTTATTCTAACCGCTGTGCCGGTTCTTGGAGGTTGTGGGGCTTTGGCTTTGGTTAGCGTTGAGAATTGTTAATGTTTGAATTGTGGTTAACAGCGTTGGCTTCCATTAGATAAAAATGAACTGACCAAAAAAGACAGATATTTAAATATTTGAGATGAACCGTTTTTATTACAAAGACATATTATCTCTTTGCAACAGAAAGCAACGCTTCCAGCGCCTCTGTCACTAGCGTCAAAACATCACAAAATGTTAGCACTGCAACAGCCGTAGCAAGCACGAACAAGACAAAGAATGGACTTTCAAAAGTTAACGCTCCAGAGGATCATAATAAGACAAAGTTACTTGTTGTTGTTTGAGTTCGCCGCCAATCATACATCCGAGTTAGGTACCGGCAATGTTACATATTCTCTTGGAAGTCTCCATATTTATCTGCGCCAACTGTTGTTGCTGAAAATCATACAGGACCATTCAAGGCCGGTGAATATATTCCAGTTAAAGTTACATTACAACACTTTGAGGCAAAGACAGGAAACTTCCAATATAGATTCTATGCAGATCAGAAATGGATAGATCTCCCAGACGACAATGTAACTGAAGTAGAAACCCCATCTGCAATTAAGAAATTACATGCCGACGAAGGCAAAACATATCTACTCAACATTCCAGCTCCAAAGTATGAAGATATCAAAGAAGATGGGAAAGTTAAACTTCAAATTAGGTTAGCTGGATCCAAAGATCAAGCTCAATCCAATATCATTGAAACAGAGGTTTCACTTCAGAAACAACAATACGTTGCACCAAGCCCTGATGATTCCAAGCCAACTCCAACACCTGAAAATAGTGGACTTACTGGTGGACAGAAGGCTGGTATTGTTATTGGCGTTCTTCTTGCTGTTATCCTTATTATTCTCATCATCTACTTCGTTTTCTGCAGGAAACCATCTAAAGATAAATCATCATCTGATATCCAAGATGATTCCGGCTCCGGTGTTAATGTGTAATTTAATTTAATTAAGGATGTCAATTTGGAAGAAAAGTGAGAAAATTCCTAAAATGCTAAAAATGAATTTTCCAAACGTACTTTTTTATCTCATTTTTTTGATTTTGAAAAAAATTTGGAGAGAAGAACTCTTCGTTTTTGAATTTTGTCACGATGGTTTTAAAGTATAGGGTGTCCAAAGGTGTGTTTAGCACAAACCTGAATACTGCGAATAGAAATAAACAAGTTACATATATATAAAGTTTATTTAAATATAATCACCATTGGATTCAATCACGCGTTCGCAGCGATCGATCCAGGCTTGAAAGACACGCTTTAAATCATCATGAGAAAATTGCTCAAATTGCTCTCTTACAAAATTTTCAAGATCATCTGGACTCGCGAATTCGCGTCCTTCAGCTCTCTTTTTTAGCGTGCCGAATAAATAAAAGTCAGAGGGTGCAATATCAGGTGAATAAATTGGGTTTGGAACAACTTTGACATTGTTTTCCACCAAGTAATTCATTACCTTATGACTTTTGTGAACTCTTGAATTATCAAAATGAATTGCAAACTTTTGTTTTTGTTGTTTGGATTTCTCAAACTCATCAGAATTGATAATTTGAGTAAGAACATTGTCAATTAGATACTGAGCATTCATCGTATTAGGTTTTTGAAGAATATCAATTGCGATGATGTCATTTACGCCCCAAAAAACCGACAACATCATCATTGGTGTGTCAATTTTTTTCTTCGGGAATGTTTGCGGATTTTTCTCGTAAACGAAAAAGGGGATTTGACGGAGTCAAATCCCCGCTCGCAAAAAGTGGACTTTACATGTCAAATTTTATATGCATGTAATGTCCACTTTTATGAGTTTTAGGAAGGAATTGGAAGCCATGAGTTACTGACATTTCATCAGTATCTCATAGCCTCCAATTCCTTCTTAAAATGGGAGAAACTTTGTCCGAATAGTTTAACATTCGGACAAAGTTTCTCCCATTTTAAGAAGGAATTGGAGGGTAAGAGATATACCATATGAATGTATATCTCTTACCCTCCAATTCCTTCTAGAAAGTGTCCAAACTTTGGGTTAATTGCAAACTATTAACCCAAAGTTTGGACACTTTCAAGTGGAGATGGAAGGCTTTGGGGTATATATTAATACAATATACCTCAAAGCCTTCCATCTCCACTACAAATGGGAGAAACTTTGTCCGAATAGTTTAACATTCGGACAAAGTTTCTCCCATCTTTCAATGTAATTGCTACCTGTGAGGTACTGACTTGAAGTCAGTGCTTCACAGGTAGCAATATCCAAAAATTTAAAAACATTTTATCAGTTCGTTAAAGAACTAGAGCCTCCTAGGTACTGAACCAGAATCAGTGCCTAGGGGACTCTAGTGATCTATATAAATCTGAGAAACTTTGAGGAAATTGTTCGACATTTCCTCAAAGTTTCTCAGCAATTTAGCGAGGAATGTTCGTTATCGTGTAGATATTTATAATATATACATGATAACAAACATTCCCGCTAAAAGATGTAAAATCTTATAAGAAATGATTGCAAAAGAATAACAAATTGCAACAAATTTTATATGAAACTGAACCTTATGAGGTAGTGATTCAAGATCACCGCCTCATAAGATTCAGTTTCAATCTCAAGTATCTCAAAAGTAAGGCTCTATTTTTTGCCATGTAAAGTGTCACTTTACTGTCAAACCGTTTTTATCGTTTTCGTTTACAACATTTTCATCCTTCGGGATCCATATGATTTTGGCTTCTGTTGCATATTGAAACCAAGACTCGTCCCCTGTTACTAAAAAGCGAAACTTCTTGGATTGATACGCACCCAATATAGAGAGGAGCTCTTTCGAAGATTGGACTCTAGATTTTTTTTGAACTGAATTAAGGTTGTGCGGAACCCAACGTGTATACGCTAGTTTGTAGTTCAAATAATTGTGCAGATAATAACTGACTGTTGTACGTGGTATCTTTGTCATCTCCTCTATCCTTCTAAGTGATGCTCTTGGGTCTTCATCTAGCGCTTGAAGAATTGCTTTGATTTTTCTTTGATCCGGCGATTTTTTGTCAATTTTTATGATGGGCGCCTTTTTGTTCATGAAGTGATACATCCTAACATGATACGTTACAGTGGAATAGCTAGGAGCATCCATACCGAAGCATTTTACCAATGTCTCGTAGATTTTTTTACAGTCTTTGCATTTTTTGCAAGAGCGAGGATGTTTTCTTTATGATTCATTAAAAAAATGAAAAAAATCCCGCCAAAATTTCCCGCGAAACCGCCTCTTGTCTCAAAATTCATTTTATATCCCGGCATGGCGCCAAAATACAACATACTCATCATATACATATATTCATATTTTTTATTATATATTTATAATCAGCATATATCTCCTTTAATAGTCTCATATAGAGCGCTGTGCTAAACGCACCTTTGGACACCCTATATATTATACACATGTATTGATATTACTATTTTTGTATATTTTAAGAGAAAATTATATTCTCCTAAAGTGAAAACAATTTTCCAAATTGCAGCTCCTTCAAAGATTTCTGAAGACTCAACGGTTAAAATTACAGTTTCTATCACAGATCCAGCTGGTCAAACTGCTACCTCTTTATATTAATATAATATTTATTTTGATATATTTTTTAGTTTAACTTTTTTTCTTTGATAAATATTTTATTTTATATTTTAAACCCTTTATTTTTTAATTAAATCATGTCTTGTAAATCAAATTACAACATGGCAAACTTTTGATTCGATATATATAGTTTACGTAACAAGTGATAGCTCCATTAGAAAGCTGAGTTTTGAAAATTACAATACATAGCATATCATTTCCAGACTTTCCCACTTTATTTTTTTTTTATTTTTTTTTAAAATGTTTCGTAATTTCAGGATGCTTTTCCCCTTTAACTTTGTTAAATGCGTAATTTTTTTCTATCTGACAACTGGCTTGAAAGATCATTGAAAATGCGATATAAACAATTTCATTTTTTTTCGACTTTTTTTTATAAATAAAGAAAATAAATATACAAATAAAATTATTTCTTAATTATTTTGTCATATTTGACAATTATATCCTGTCTCAAAGTATCCAAATCCGCAAACTGTGTTGCGTATCTCGAAGTGTCTTCGTCGTACGGCTTAATTACATCAGCCCTATCCAAGAACATTTCATCAAATGAAACGCCGAGAGCTTTGTATTTTATCTGCATCAAAATTGCCAAAGCAGGATGGAAATCTCTTATTGATATGAACAGCAACAAAGCGTTCATTGCATTTCCAGTATCCAAGAAGTGGTGGGCGGCTCTTCTCAACAAACTCTTCGACTCATTCGAAAACTCTTCCAATTTGCAGACTTCGACAGAATCTTCCCATCTTCCGTTGTCCTGAAGATATCTTGCGGCAGAAAGATTAGCGCCAGCTAAATGCATCAATATACAGCCTTCTATAAATCTGTGCTGTGCAAAAAGTGGAACAGCGGTTGTTATCAAAAATTCTGTCACGTTTTGTGGCAAAATTTTATCTTCGTAACCGAGAAGCAACGCCGAACAAATGCTTGCCACTATTGTGAACTCGCTTTTGTTGGAGAGACTCTTGAAAACTTCGACAGCTCCTCTTCTATCACCCATTCTGAACTTGAACAACAAGTTGAAAATGGCAGAAATCGGAGTATCTGCAGGAGAAAACAGAGAAGATTGAATCCTCAACGCGGAAACAACTTCTTCTTTCCCTCCAAACATGGAATGCCGTGCTTGCAACCTCGGACCTCCCAAACTACGTGAAACACACTTCCAAATAATGGAATCAGTTGGAAATCCATGGTCATTAGCTATCTCAGCTATTTGAAGTGCTTCTGACCATGTTCCTGTAGTAGGATTCGTTAATAATTGCTCACCCATAAGCTCTAACCGTTGCTGGGCGGTTTTTAGCGGTTTTAAGAGGGCAGGTGAAGTGATTCTTTTTACAGATCTCCAGTCTCTTGCAATAACGAATTTCACGGCTTCGTCATTGAGCGGGGAGACGAGGACGAGTCCATTTCCTGTTACAGCGAATGAGGAAACAGAAAAAGGACAACTTTCCACTTTTTCAAGTGAAAAACCAAATTTTCCGTCTCTCGCGTGTACGTACAATCCGCTGGATGATCTCTCGAACTCTATCCTGTCTATGTCGATGAAAGGAGAGTATGTTTGCTTCGATGTACCGAAAGCAAAGTCGTAAAACATAATTACGCCGTCTGTGTCAGCAGTTATGATGCAATCGCCTTTCCAAGCAAGACAAGTTGTCCTGGAGTTCTCCCGTGAGTTACGCAGCCTCAGAACAGGCATCTGTGCTATGCCGTTCTTGTATGTGTAGACTTGGATTTCTCCGGTAGATAATAATACGGCGAAATTGGGAGTATCGCCTTGGAAACATGTTGCTGGTATTCTGGATACTTGGACTGCAACAGCGGTGATGGATGTTTGAAGAGTCATCGGCTTTTGTTTGACATCATAAAAAATACCAAGGTCGTATTTGCCGTGGACGAAAACGCCGAGCTCCTCTGAACATATTAGGTCTGTGGCAGGGCCAAGGCGAGTGTGGATTGGAATAACTTGGCGCTTGGGAAGATTTATTGATCCACACTCGGTTTTTGAGTACCACAGAAGGACATCTTTGGTAAGGAACTTGATCTTTTCAATGGATGTGCTGGATGCAAGGTAGTTCTGTGTGTATTTCCCTTCTGAAACGTCTGCGAAAATTATCTTTCCGGTTGGAGTGCCGAAAGCAAGGATTCCGTCGTAGAAATCGTAACAGGTTGGTATCTGTGGTATAATTTGAGACTGCGCGATGACGTAAGGTATATCATCTTTTATGGCAAACATAACTAAGCCATTTGATGGAGAGAACGCGATGTATCGCTCGGGAAGTGCACGGTTACATGCAGCGGATAGTGGTAAATACTTCGATTTTAAGTCAAACAGCTCTCTTTTCAATTTTATTGTTCCTGATTTTGTAAAAATGTAGTCTTCGTTACAGATATAGATACTGAGTGACGAGTCTTGACCATAAACTGTAATTTCGTTGTCATTTGTTAAAGAAGGAAGCAGTTTATGGAAAGATGATTGGGATGATTCATCGATTACAAGATTTCGGCCAGATTTGGTCGCTATGTTAAACGTAAGTATTTTTCCTTCAAGCATAATTAATAAAATATTACTAATATGGGGATGATGTTGAATTTCTACGATTTTTTCTGATTTATCTAAAGTATGGGATTGAGATTGAGATGTTGGAGCCTGCTTGGCATTCTTTGACGTGATAATTGTAAAGGATGGACCATTAGAATATAGAATTGCAGTGAATATATCTGAACTATTAACAGCCATCCTTGTATATGTACCAGGAACATCTATCTTCCAAAGTATTCGTGAGTTTTTCGCTTGATCTTCAGCTTCATACGGCCAAAAATCGATACTATAAATTGTATTTGGTTCTGCAAAGCCTAAAACGATTTTACGGGACCATTGAAGCTCCGATACATACTGAGCTTCAGATACTTGACGAGTGATTCCGAGTGTAAGACCTGATTCACAATCCCATAACAAAACTCTTCCGCAATCGTCTGAAATTGCAAGATAAGGTAGCTCATAGTGGAATTTAAGGCAAGTTATGTTAGAATTTAGAATTTCAATGGATCATAAGAAAGAAATATCATTTTTAGTAGTTTTATAGAGATAAATTGTGCCTTTACCGGCTAATGCAAGTAGCCCACATGCTTCCCAGTCCATGCTCCCTGTGTTGAACACTTTACTAGGTGGACAAAGTGAAGCAAATCGTATCTTAGCTTTATTAAAAGGATTCGCTTGCATTTTTTTTATAAATTGATATCGTCAAAAATTTTAATTCTACAATGTTTTAAATATATTAATATTTAGTTGTACAGAATCAAATCACATCTACTTGAAAAAAAAAAGGTAGTGGGGCTTCCAGGCGCGTTGCGCCCTCTAGCCCCGAAGATGTTTAGTATAAAACCGCTTTTTAACTTCACTTAAAATGCCACGTAAGCTACGTAAGAATATACGTAAGAGGAAGGGAGCATTGAAACATCCAATAGTAAAACTGACACCACAACAACAGTTGCAACAACAAATGCTGAATGACCCCACTATGTTGCAACAAATGTCAAGCAACCCTATGCTTTTAAACCGAGTTATTGGTGCACAGAGTGGAGGTTTAAGAGCGGCACTTTTAGCGAAAATGGCAGGCTATGGTGGAGCTGCAGACGGAACAGCTTATAACCCTCAAAGTCAAATGAATTTGAGTTCACTCAAAAATCAAATAACAGATGTCAAAAAGTCAAACATAGACATACAGAAACAAATAAGTGAAAACGAAAAGAAACTAGAATATGACAGACACACAAAGAAACTCAATGAGTTAAACGTAGAGAAAAAGAAGAAAGAAGAACAACTGAAAGAACTAAGTACAGAGGAATATGCGAAAAAAGTGTCAGAAAAAGCAGCAGAAGTAGCAAAAATGGAACAAGATGTTATAAATTTGAAAAACCATACTACTCAATATAAAGTACTGAAAGATGAAGAAATAAAACAAAAAGCCCTGAAGACATATATGGATAGCGATGAGTATAAAAAAGAAGTTGAAGCAAATGTAAAGGCAGAAAAACTTTTACAGTTGCAAAACCAAACCGTACAGTATGAAAACTTAGCACAAGAAAGTAAAAATAACGACGCAGCCATGCAAAAGGCAATGAAAAGCGCAGAATATATAAAAGCTAATAATGACTGGTTAGACGCCCAAGCCAACGCTAAAGCAGCCCAACTTATAGGGTCAATAAGGACAAAAATACAAGCGGATGAAGACAGTTCAAATGAAGCTTTAACGAATGCTGACTTTAAGAACGCCTTCGAAGCTCTTCATAGTAAGGTGAAACTAGTGAACGACTTCTCATCTGGAAAGAAACTGAAGTCTGAAGGTTTCGACAAAGAGTTAAAAGAAGTAGCACAAAATATGACGAAAATAACAGATGCAGCAACGAGACAGGCAGTTCAAAGTGCCCATGACGCCGTTAGAACAGCTGTTGTGGAAAGTCAAGAAAAAGAGTTACAACAGACCAAAAGAGACCTAGTAAATGCTTTCTTAAGAACGAAAAGTCAGGTAGGACATTATGCTGCAGATGGAACATATGTGCCAGCTGGTGGAACTTATATACCAGCTGGTGGAACTTATATACTAGCTAGTGGAACTTATATACCACCAAACCCTCCAAGAGAAGCACCTGCACCAGGACTACCTAAAACATTTACATCGTCACATGGACACAGACACAGGCATGCACCAAAACCAACACAACAACCAACAGTTCAAAATCCAGCACCACAACAACAACAACAACCAGCACAACAACCACCTCCACAACCAGCACAGCAACCAACAGTTCAAAACCCTGCACAACAACCACCTCCACAACCAGCACAGCAACCAACAGTTCAAAACCCTGCACAACAACCACCTCCACAACCAGCACAACAACCACAAACAGAGCAAGGACATAAAAGAAGTAGAGAACAAGGAAACCAAGATTTCTTAAAAATGCTTAAGGAAGAATATGGTTACCCAGATACTCTTGACTTTAGTGACAGATATAAAGAAGCTATTAGAAAGTTCAAGGAAGGAAATACAGACCCGAACCTATTTAGCTTTATGGTTCAGCACAAATGGATATAATTTCAAACCTGGAAAATACAAGCTCGCTAAGGGATATGATTTAATAGCATATCATCCAAATGACATGAACGAATTTACTCCGAGATATTTGGTGTCAGAGCTAAATGACAATTCAACTCTCTTCATGAAACGCGTAAAAAATAGAGACGGAACGAAAGAAGAAAGGTTTATGAGTCCGGATGACTTAGATAGGGAACTTTTTAAAAACGGTCTCGGAATATATGAAATGCCAGCAGATGAGGTACAAGAAACTCAACAGGAAGAAGTTCAGATACAACCAGACATGGAAGAAATAGTTCAGCAACAACAGCTAGAAGAGCCTGAAGGAAACGAACAAGTCCCTCCTTTGGAAACTAACCTCACAGAACTAGATGAAGATTTGGAACAGCCGAAAAATCTTGACCCTCAACAAGAGTATGAGGTGAATATGGAATCTTTCCAAGAGTCTAAAAAAAATTCGGCTGACATAGTAGAAGAATATCGAAAAATGTTTGCCGACATACAAAAGACTCCAACATCAGATGAAAATATTCAGCATAGAATGGAAGTACTGAAAGATAATGTACGCAAATACAACAATCCTTTTTACTTACGACCATATAACGTTCAATCTTTGGCTGAACTCGGTGAAAATAAAAGGTTAAATTTCAACAAAACATATAGAAATGAAACATTGTTTAAAGTTCATTCAGAACCTAACCAATATGGAAACAAACCTACTTTTGTTTCTGCAGACTATGGAACTACAATGAGATGGGGTCATAAAGCTAATCCGGATAGGTGGTTCATAAACTTACAACCACAATTCCAAGAAGTTGTAGACGCAATGGAAGTGAATGGTGAACCAGATATAGCTGGTATTTTCAGCGCGGCTTTAATGCCATTGAAAGATATGAAAGATGCAGATATTTTGAACCAGTATGAAATGAACATGGCTGATGGAAATATAACACCTGACGTTCTAAAACATTTATCTCAAAGAACTACACAGAACCATAGAGATGGTATATTTGGTGAAGAGTTTAGAAAGACAGTTAGGGAGAGAGAAGGAAGAGAACCTATTGTACATGACCTTGCAAACGAAAGTTTACAAAATGTCATAAAAACTTACTTTGCAGACAATGAACCGAGAAGGGATGAATATTTAAGAAAACTCAAATGGACAGTACCAAATGAAATGTTAGTATTGAAAAACATGTTCCTTGACAAAATAAAACCAACTACAGAAATAAATGACGAAAGACTGAAACATTGGGTAAAAGCTTTCCCATTCACAAAAGATATTATTGGTAACATGGAAAGAAAACCAGAATGGCTACAAAAACATATATTTGGAAACGAGCTTATTCCATATGGACAAGCTCTGTTTGAAGAGCTTGAACCGGAAACTCAGGAAAGAGTCATGCAAACAATACGCGAAGACTCAAATACAAACTATGACAAAATCTTTCTAGGATATAGGTTACCTGAGATGGGCGACCAGAGCCCAAAGGCAAAAAGGACATGGGAAATTTACAACATACTAGGTGAACATGAGGCAAAGATGCAACAACTTGAAGCAGAGGGCAAGTTACCAAAAGCGACACCAAAGAAGAAGAGAAGAGTAGAACAAAGTGAAAGTAGTGAAGAAGTAACTTCATCTAGTGAAAGTAGTGGCAATGAAGGAAAAAGAAGAGTTAAAAACTCAGTCAGGAAGAAAGTAAAGCTTGGTCCGAGTGGGTTCTATTATGACATATAAATCCAACTATTCTATATTTTTACCCATATGAAATGTACGCCGCTCAGAATATAACGCCAACAGTTTTGGATGCCATGAATGGAAATGTTTCCGAATGGTATAACGAATGCGACAATGCCATTAGAAGGTCAGAAATAGTTCCTGGAACTTACGAATATACAACTGCTGTTTCTTATGGAAACGTAGGTGAGTTTGGAGAAGGTTCTTCAACAACAGTAGATATTGCTTGCGACAGGTTTCATATTATTTCTATTGACAACTCTTTCTTATACGTGGAACAAGACATTGAAATAAAACCTTCTGCCAAGTTGTCTGAAAAGAAAGGTTGCAATGGAATTTTCTATGTCGGATACCAATATGCTCCAGAAGTTTTCATGGGATATAAGATATATTCTAACTCTGACTTAGTTCAAACAGTAACATGGGCAAACTATGAATGGTTCGCTTTAAGAAACTCAGTACAACCACAAGCTAGAGAACAAACAGACCAGTATGCAACTATTGAGAAAATAAGAAGACTTGACCCTAACGTTCCAGGAGTTTATGTTAACCTTTCTGGTTCAGATGGAACTGCTGCCACTAAAGTAAAACTGAAACTTAGAGTTCCTTTGTCATCTTTCCTCATCTTCAGGTTTTTAAGATACTTGCCAAACTGGGCAGGAAAAATTTCTATCGAACTTACTCCAAGCAAAAATAACTTAGTCATTGCACCAACACAAGACCCATTCACTCTTACAGACGTAAAGGGAACAAATAAAACGTCATTCGCCGAATTTTGCAAAGACAAAGTTGACTTAGACTTTGGTTTCTCAAACCTCAACACTGAAGTAAACTATTATTTCAATGCTGCTGGAGATGCTTGGGACCCAGTTAAGTTCACATGCGAAAAATTTGAATGCAAGAGAATAGAAAGCAGACTTGCAGTCTATATGTTGGACCCAGATATTTCAAATGCTTTAGCTGCCAAATATATTGCAGTTCCACTTATGTTCCCTATACACCAAATATCTGTCAAAGACTTTGCAGGTGAAGTTGGAAACCAAAGTGCTGACCCAGGTGCAAGAACAGATATTGCCTTAACAACTGCAATGAAACATGCAGATACTATGTTTGTTCTTTTCAGACGAACTATAAATGACTATTCTTGTTTCTACAACCCTGGTATTAAATATCATATAAACATAGATGGCAAATATTATCCAAGAGAAGAATATTCTACAGTTGAGGATATGAGGTCATACAACTTGACATTAGATGCTATGAACTTTAACAACAACTTCACAACAACCATTAACCCTGAAATGCAAAGTTCTATTATGCCATATGTGAAAGTATGGACCCATACAGGAGGTCAAAAAACTCAATATACAAATGGAGACCGTTCAAACTTTTGGCTTGGCATTCCATTTGCTGACTCAGAAGACTTTATGGGTGGTATTTCAACTGTTGGTACAGTTCAAATACAATATACTGGTGACAGAGACGGTCCAGATGAATTGAAAGCAAAGAAGTTTACAAAACCAATAGCACTTTTCACGGAAGATGCTCTTTTGAAAATTCGTTCGATGAAACCTGCTGGGGCTCCTCAGATTGGCATAACGACAGCTTCCATCGAGCAGATTTTGGCAGCAGGTCAGTAAGTTGTTCTTGAACTGACTTCTCTCCGTCAAATATTGACAGTACGCCAGTTTTGACATAATATTGTATTATAAACTTTCCTTTAGAAATATCTGTAAGTTTTGAAGTTATATTTTTGTCTGCTTCAAGAACTTTCACCATTTCAGTTATACCAACTTTCTTTGCTTTATGAAAATATTTAGGTTCAGCAAAGACTGCTATTCTATAACATTTTCCATTGTTTGTGTAAAGAACTATTCTGTCAATGTATTTGTATTGTTTGTGTGTGTAAACTTTGTTTTGCTTCAATTCGAAGAGATATCTGAATACGTCCATCTTTTTATTCTAAGTAAAATGTCATTTCCGAAAAATAGAAGTGTAAGTGTTTCAAAAGGTTTAATGGCGGTGGCAGATGTGAAGTTAAATTCACCAACTCAAACAAACAGTCAAAGTGTTGTTGTCAATGTCAAAGACAGAGATGTTGAAGTGGGGAAACCATACGAAGACGAAGATGGTATAACAATAGTTCCTGTAAAAGAACAACCAACATATCCTGAAGTTAGCAGAGACTTAAGTTCTGTTGCAGATATTCGAAACGACTACCAACAACTGAAAGACAAACTTAAAACTCAGGAGAAGATTTGTCAAGCTTTAAGTATAATGTTAAACTTGGTCGAACACAACCCTGTAAAAGTGAACTCATATGTCATTGCACCTCATGAAGTTTTGAAAGAACTATTGAAACTTTTGACAGAGGCAGACGATATAAACATCAAAGAAATAGAACCCGACATTAGTTGCTGTGGTGTTTCATATAATGTCATTGACAAGATATACGTTATGAAAGGAGGTGAAACGTTGAACTTAAAATATAGTTTCCCAGACGTTATAAAAATATTTGACGACCACAACATTTCATTAAAATTTATTTGCTAAGTAAATGGCAGAAGACATAATGGTTTATACTATTACGACTAAAAACCCTGAGTCATATAATTCTATAACAACAAACTTACAAAGTCCTCAAGGACGATATTGTAAACTAACCTTAAACACAATGACGACTAAAGCCTGTTTTGCTCTTTTGACACCAGAAGACTTTATTGTTGTGAATGGTAAAAAATACTCCTTTGAAGATACTTACTCAGATATACCACCAACAGGTTTTGTTGACTTATTTAATACTTTAAGGACGGGTGTAACATGTGCTGCAACTAGAGCAGGTTTCATTATGTTTGGATGTCCGACTGAGTTTACTATAAACGATATGAGTTATAATACAAAACTTATATCTGGTTTTTACTACCAACAGTTTCCTATAACAGGAAAAGGTGTCATACAAGGAATGTCTGTTCCATTGACTTTAAGCACACCAATCTTATATATTGTTTCAAACTTAGGTTCAAAGTGTTATTCGAATGTCGACAGAAACTATTATGACCAAAAGATACTTATGCGTATAAACAATACTTTCTCTGCTGGTTTGCCTATTGTTCATTCGAATGCAGAGTTTTCAGCTTTAGTAAACTCAAACACTTTAGCAAACATAAACTTAACCTTAGTTGACGCAAACTTTGTTCCTGTAAAACTTTTATGTCCTATGTATTTGTCAATGACGGCAGAAAGTTTCGAATTGGAAGATGCAACTGGTGAAAGTATTGTATTACAAGAACAACTTCAACAACAAATAGCTCAAGAACAACAAATGCAACAAATGGAACAAATGGAACAACAAGCTCAAGAATAAAAAAATATTTTTTTTTTATTTTTATAAAAAAATGTACAGAATAGATGTTTCAGATTTTTATGACTTCCAAGCATTCAGAAATATGTGTCCATTTCGAGACTATAACAAAGCAGTCGAGAATTTGAAACGTTTAGTCATTTATGTTGACTCTGCCCCAGAATGTTATGTCATGAAAGAATGGGATGTTGTCTTTAACAAACCAAGAGCAACAATAGTGTCTGAACAAGAATGTAGACAGAAACTTAAGAAAATAAAAGTTGTACAAGTTGGAAGGAAGATGTTAGATGCTTGGGATATCTTATTGTCAAAGTTAGAAGATTTTTCAGTTCGAGGTATAAAGTTCTATACACCATCTCCAAACTTCTATTCTATCTTCACTGGATATAAATACGAACAAGTAGAATGGACTTTCAAAGTTAACGCTCCAGAGGATCATAATAAGACAAAGTTACTTGTTGTTGTTGAGTTCGCCGCCAATCATACATCCGAGTTAGGTACCGGCAATGTTACATATTCTGACACACTCTCCACACCAGTTATCGATAGAGTTCTTTACAACGATGGCAACGAAGTAATTTCAGGCAATTTATACTCAGCCAAAATCATACTCAAAAGTTAACT